AATTTAGTATATATATAAAGTTTAAAAATTGTGGCATATCCAAATCTGTGAAAGAGATTGATTTAACCTTTAGATCTTTTCATTTCATAGCTTAAAAACCGCTTTATTTTTGAGTTTCTTATGTAAAAGAAACCATTTATTTAAACTTCTATATCTGATGTGTTTCACTTAGTGTTAGCAAAATAAATGATGATAGAGCCGAGGCGATGGCTCAGTAGAATAAGTACTTGCCTGGCAAATGCAAGATTCTGAGTTCAATCCCTGGAACCTCAAATAAAATAAAATAAAATAAATGAGGATAGGAAGTAAGGACTTAGAATTTGTAGAGACAGTGAGGGGCATCTGGGAATGGTGAGAAAAGGCACAAGAGGAGGGGAAGAGAAAGAAATTATTAAGTTGCAATATGTATATATGCTTACTACCCCAAATAAATGTAATTATAGTTCACAAACATATAGCAATGAATACAAGTAGAAGGGCCTGAGTTCAATCCCCAGTTCTGCAAAAAGAAAAAGAAAAAAAAAGGAAATAAGGGGTTGGGAGGATAGCTCAGTGGAATAAGCACTTGCCTGGCATATATCAACGAATAAGAAAAATGTAATTTCACATTTCAAATCACACAGGTTATATGTTCATAAAAATAAAACTGCATGCAATAAAATTAGGGGAATAAATTTTTAAAAACCTGCATGTGCTGGGGACATAGCTCAGTGACATAGCATTTGCCTGGCAAACACAAGGTCCTGAGTTTCATCCCCAGTACCAAAACAAAAAGAAAAAGAAAAACCTACAAATGGTACTACAGAATAAAAAGAGAAAGTCCTCCTTCCTTTCCTCATTTTGTTCCCATCCCTAGAGGAAACAGGGGTTAAGAATGTCTGAATTCTGCTGGATTTTTCAATGCAGTGTTGTATAGTACTTAAAATCATAGACTCTGAATCCAGTATGTCTGAATTTGAGGCCTGACTCTGCCAATTATTAGCTATATGACTTTGGGCAAGGTATTTAACCTTTCTGTTTCTCTGTTCCATAGTCTGTAAACTAGAGAAAATAATATGCATTGCATAGAGACTATATTGAGGGTTAATCAAAATTAAAATTTTAAAGAACTTATCATGATCCCTGGAACATAGTAAGTGCTGTATAAATTATAATTATAATTATTTATATGCACATACATTCTTATGAATGTATTTTATTTAAGTGAGACTTTTTTCCTTCATCCTGCTTTGCTGACTTAGCAGTATCTTTTCATGCTAGCAGGAGTTTCTCTACATTCTTTTTTCATAGGATAAAAATGAAACCATAAGTTAGATTAATTTTACCCAACAGTTATAAGATAGACTTCTTGTGTGCATGTGGATAGTAGGTCTTAAAATTCACTCAACACCTAAAATGAAAAAATCACTTTTTATATAGGAGCAATAAAACATATAGCCAAGTTATGTGGTCACAGCTGGAATCATCCAAACAGTTCCTGTTTTAACCTGTCAGATTGTCATAGAATCCTACTTGCGAAATACTATCCAAGACAGGAAAACTACATCTCCTGTTTTTCCAGTGGCATTGTTTCTTCATTTTTATTTGGGCCATCAGAAATGGTTGTCTCTTTCTATTTTTTTTAAATCATTAATTTATTTACTTGCTATAGGGTTTCACTACATATCTCTGACTTGCAGTGATCCTCCTGTCTCAACCTCCCTAGTGCTGGGATTACAGGTTTGCGCCACCACACCTGGTTTCAGTGACTGGCTCAGTGCCTGGGGCCAGCACAGCATGCAGTACCAGGGATCAAACCCATGTGCTTGCACTTACCAGGCAGGTGCTTAGACAGCGAGCTATCTCTCCAGCCCTGTTTGTCACTTTCAGAGCCTGCATTCTTTCCAATGGCTGCATACCACATGCCACATGAAGGCATTAAAATCTCTTTGAACCTTTATAATATTTATTGATATTTCAATGGTTTCCTGTTTTAAAAAACTTATTAACAATGCTCATAAGAAGATTCTTCATCATGGCGTCAGTCTTTTATGAGTTTGATTGGCACCCTTGCTGGAAGACTTGTGAGAGTATTTGGAATCTAGTAACTGTATCACCAAAGGAGCACAAAGTGGGTATTGCAGAACATGTTTGGGGTTCTTCTGCACCTTCTCAGGAAAATGCTACAGAAGCCTGTGGGGGCTACGGCTTAGGGACTGTATTGATAAGAAGGATCGTCATATGTCATGAAGGTGGTATTGGGGTGAATTTCAGGGTCCCCTTGCAGAGTGGTCCCAATAATTTCTGAGAAGTCTGACTTGACCTGTTGGGTTTCCTTGTGTTTCAGATCAGTGCTGAGTCTCCAACTGGCTTGCCACCACACAAAGGCGAGTTGGTTGTCTCACTGAAATACATCCCAGCCTCCAAAGTTCCTGTTGGAGGTGATTGGAAAAAGAGTGAGTTTTCTTTGGGGCCCTGGATATAGGTTGTAGTTTTCTCAGAGGATCTGCACAAGGCTTGTGTTGGCACTGTTGGGGAGACCAGACTGGAATGCCCTCTTGATCTTCTAGCGAAGACCTTTACTATGTGAACTCTCTGCATTTTTTTTCAACTGAAAGGGAATACCTCAAGGTTTAAATTCCTTTTCAATATTATTTTTTAGGCTATTGAACTGCATTGATTTTGGTTCAGCAGTGGTGAGCTACTAAGAGGGCAGAGAAGAAAAATTTTGGGTCTGACTTTGGTTTTTAGAAGAGATGGTGAGCTGTGAGGGACAGGAAGTTGAAGGTTGAGAAAGAGTAATTCAACATGTCAAGCTCTGTACTCAGTGGCTGTGGCTACATAGATAAGGGAAGCACATGCTCTTTCTTGAAGAGGTGAGTTTAGCAAGAAAGACAGTCAGGGTCCAAAGGGGCCCAGACACAGGAGTGATTTCTGTCTGGATATATTAGGGAGAGCTTCAAAGAAGAAGTACAATTGAGTCTGGAACTTTTGATTTTATAATACACAGTAAAGGATGGAGAACGAGGAGAAAAGAGCATTCCCAAAAGAGCTTTAAGAAGGCCCAGTAAATGTGATGGAACTGAAACTCTTATATCAGTGGGATTGGTGTTTCAATATGCATTTGTACACATGAGAATGGGCCTGGGATTGGAGGTAAGGCTGGTACCTAGCTGAAAAGGGCCTTGAATATAAAGAGCTGAACATAATAGACTGGTAAAGGAGAAGCAAAGTTCTTAAAATATATCTTCAGCAAAATGTAGCCTAGAGAGTTTGGGTAATCAATGAGGTCCCCATGGAGGGTGGGCAGATTGATTCTAGAAGAGGGACAAGGATAGAACCATAGGGAATGGAAACATTTTAAAGGCTAAAGAGAAGAGTAATTGCTAATGAGGCAGGGACTTATTAAGAGAGAGAAATTCAGGAGAGAGCTTCAAGAAGGAACACAGATTTTTTGATGATATTGAAATATTCCTTAGAGTTTAGGCCAGACGAGGACTGAGAAGACAGAGCTCATTGGCATTTGATTGACTTTGCAGTGGATTTGTTGAATCAGAAGCCAAATTTCACTAGAAAACTAGGCTAAGTGAATGAGGCAGACACATAGAGGTGGTGAGTGTGGGCTTTTTCCCCAGGGTAATTAGTGGTGAAAGAAAAGGGATGTGGAGAATAGCTTGAAGAAGAAAGTTGAAGGGAGAGTTGAAAAGAATTGAAGGGGTTGAAGGGAGGTATTTTGCTTTTAGTGGATTGAAAAAAGATGAGACTAACATAAATTTAGACTGAGGTGAGGAGGGTTCAGCTGAGAAATAAATATTAAAGTAGAAAATGGAGGGTGAAATTGCTGCTGCCTGATTAGTTCTGTGAGGTGAGGATGGGGTCAAGAAGTCAAATGAAAGAATTTCTTTTTTTTAAAGTTATTCACTAAACATTGGACAACTTTGATCTTCTAAACTTGATTTTTCATCTGTAAAATGGGGTAATAGTATTGTACATCTTATAAGATGTTTTATAGAATAAATGGTTGAGGCAGTATCCAGCACATAGTCAGTTTTTGGTAAGCAGTTATTGGTCTTCTGGTTGTTATTAATTGAGCACCTACTACATACTGTTGGGCACTATGCCAGCTATGGAGAAGACAAGTGAGGCATGGTTCTGCTGTGGAGAACTTGCTGTCTGCAGAAGCAAGGAAAGAAAGTGCTATGCATGTAAAGGTCAAATTCAACTTAAGAGATGCAGGGACTCACCTACTATGGCTCCCATCCCTTTCAGGCAAAGGTGTGGAAGGAGGAGAACTCCAGGTATGGATCAAAGAAGCCAAGAACCTGACAGCTGCCAAATCAGGAGGAACTTCAGACAGCTTTGTCAAGGGGTGAGTCCCTGGACCATGATCAAACTAACCAGTTTCAGGACAAGAGAGTAAACAGAGGAACCAAATTTAAACTTTGTCTGTGGACATGACCCTTGGGTATCCTACCACCTTTGGTAACTGACTTTATTCTTAAAATTATGTAATGGTGAAACCTCCACTACCTCCTTTCCACTGGTCTGAACTCCATTTGGATGAGGCTGTAGGGTTAATATCCAAAAATAATAATGGTGACAGATAGGTTCTGAGTTTTCTCTACCTCATGCTTTTAGTTAATCCTGGGGAAAAATTAGTGTCTAGATATGGGGATTCATGGCTTTGTTCCACATATTTTCAAAGCAGTGCTAGCTTTCCCCAAATTATAGGTCACTAGCTATTTTAGGCTCTCTAAAAAGTCACATTTGGTAAGCCTGTAAGATATTACTTTTGGTTTTATTTACTTTGCATAATCGAAAAAATGGAACAAAATATGTAATAGGCAGGCTGGGGGAGAATAGACAACACCCTGACCAATATCTTCGTTTTCTCTCCAGATTAAAAGAATTGAATCAGGTGAACGATATAGTGGAGGTAGTAGGAAGTCTCCTTCAGCAGATACAAAGAAGGGGTGTGTGCACTTGGGTTTGAATATTGACTCACCTTCTGGGCTCAGTGTGTGGTGGGAAAATGGGAATTTAGACAGATTTTTCCAGCTTTGAGTAGGTACTGATCATTCCCTACCCTCTGCCAGGTACCTCCTTCCTATGAAAAACAAGGCCAATAAGCGTAAAACTCCTGTGATAAAGAAGACCCTGAATCCCCACTACAACCACACATTTGTGTATAATGGTATGAGACTTGAAGATCTACAGCATATGTGCCTGGAACTCACTGTGTGGGATCGGGAGCCTCTGACCAGCAACGACTTCCTAGGAGGAGTCAGGCTGGGTGTTGGCACTGGTGAGTCTCCAACCCTCCCTTGGTTTAAGGGCCTCTTGTTTATTTCACTACCTGTACCTCCCAACCTGACACAGTTCCTTTGTGGTAGGTAGCAGTTGTCTTCTTTCCTTTCAGGTAATATTCATCAAGTATTTATTCAGTGCCTGCTATATGCCAGATCAAGGAGAAGGCTCAGTTCATATAGAGATAAATGCTATTCTCTTTCTCTCATATTCTCTCTCTCTCTCTCTCTCTCTCTCTCTCTCTCTCTCTCTC